TTCTTGCATCTGAAGAAGTGAGGTTCTTACCCACGAAAGCTTATGCTCCCAATACTTCTGTTAGTCTTAAAGGTGCCACAGGACCCTCTGTTGCTTTTTCCCAAGAGATGAATCTGGCTGTGGAAGAGTCTTCCAAAGGAATTGGGTAGAAGCCTTATTATAAGGGCCATTGAAAACTAGACTGAATGAAACCGTACTAAATGAACTCTAAGGAACAATCCTGCATTGGCTAGTTGAGTAAGATAAATGAGTCTTCACCATGTCTAACTTCTAGGATTCTATACATCAGGGCTATCTACCCTAGTGTCCTTTTCCCCCAGTGTCTTGGCCCTGTTTTCCTTATAATGAGGGTAAAGGTGATGATGATGGTGGTGCCTTGAGTGTTTTCAGACTCAGCTTCAATGACTGGAAGAGCTAATATAATAAACCACAACCACATACAGAGAAAGAGCATGGTCCTCCCTGGGGATCAAACCTGGTACCACCCGCACCTGGGGCCTGATTCATAGCCTTATGAAACTGAGTAACTGTTAGCTGGGAGTAAATAGGCTGTTACTAGAAGGAAACATGATCACATGTACTGAAGTAGTGCATTACACTGACACCCACAGGTGAAATTATGATGTGCTACTGCCAAGCACTGTAGCCAGCTCAGAGTAAGAATCTGGGAAGATGTACAAACTGCAATGACGTCGGAATACTCTACAGTCACTTAGAGAAGCTGCCCCTCCCACCAAACCCCAGCCATTGTTGCCTCCTTCTCCCATTGTTTATGCACCAGCCAAATCCAGCTCTTCCATTCCTTTTGACACAGCCAACCAGTGGTCACATTCTGAAGCTACTGACTGAGGTGAGACAGTGCTCCAATTTACCTCCTGGAATAAGGAGATAAGAACACGTTGTGTAATAAATGGTTCAGGATTTGCTGCCTGTCCATAGCACTGACTATCGGAGTCTAAGCTTGGGGATTGGAGAAATGAGGAGAGGACTGTTCATAAGGCCTCAGTGCCTGCGCTCCTACATAGGTAGTTTCTGATCAAAGTGAGTGCCAAGCCTTTTTTCTAATAAGTTTTCTCTAAATTCTAAGTTGGCTTTGATGTTTCCCTTACTTGAGCTTCCCTCCTCCTGCTGCTTCCCTCTCATATGTTTAAGTTATTCAGATACAGGGAAAGCTCTCTAATCAGTAAGAAAGGAGAGGAGTAATGTTGTGAACACTTATTTCCCTGGTGCTAAACAGCATCATTGCCTCCTTTCCCTTTCCACTGAGTACATGTAGTAGGGCCACAGCCTTCTGATTTGGAATGGTTTCTGTTGTGAGGGCCTCCTGATAGTATACTGTCTCCCTTGAGAGCAACGGTAGCAAATAAACCCATTCAGAAAGGAAAGAGATTAGAGATGGGAGTAGAGGATGCTATCCATAATGTCACTGGGGTCACAGCCTATAGTGGACTACATCCACCCTGACTAAATTGGCCTTCAACATTGAGTCTCCACTTGTAAGGTAACTCCCTTCTCTTCATGTGCCAATATATATTTATGCCTGTATCTGTAATTTTCACTCCATGCATCTGAAGAAATGGTTTTTTTACCCATGAAAGCTTATGCCCAAATATATCTGTTAGTCTTTAAGGTGCCACCGGACTCCTCGTTGTTTTTTTAGCCTATAGTTAAAACATTTTCTAACCTGCCTCTGTACTTGATTCTGAGTGCTTGTGATGCAAGAGAAGTAGAAATTATTTAGCAACATGGGACTCAACTATTTCTTCACTGCAGAATTAACTCAAGTTATTTACACTTGAGTTAACTCCTCTCAAGTTAGGCTAGTCGGAGTGAGAGCAGCCACACTGCAAACGAATACTTGAGCTGCACAGAGTGCTAGTGTTAGCAGCTGATGAATTGTGCTAATATGAGCTGTTGCCTATACTCCATGACGGGTCAGCCAACTCGAGTTAAAACCATCAACACACTCGAGTGCAGGATTTGTGTGTGAGGATGGGACATGAGTTAGGGGCAACACTTGAGTTGTAGCTTGGGTTAACTGCAGTGAAGACAAACCCTTAGATGTTGTAAATCTGTTACCAAGGATGGGGATGTTCGTTATGCCATATGTCCAGCCACTCCAACCACCCCGGCCCCCCTGATCCACTGCTGGCTGAACAAGAACTGTCATTGCCTCAAAGCTTCACAACTAACAAAGCTGTGAAAGAGGTGTGTGTGTGTGTGTGTGTGTGTGTGTGTGTGTGTGTGTGTGTGTGTGTGTGTGTGTGTGTGTGTGTGTGTGTGTGTACACATGTGCAGAGGGAGGAAGGTACTGGGAATGAGCTGAAGGGGGGATATTTCTCTACAGGCCCTAGGAAATGTGACAAGAGTTTGCCTGTGATAATGTTTGAAGTGCTCTCTTGGACAAAAGGTATACTTTCCTTACTCAAGTTTCTAAAATACATTGCTGTGTGGCAATAGATTGTGTGGCTAGAGGTAGATTTTAGCAGCAGAATTGGTATCCATATTTCAAGCATGCTGGAATTGGGGTGTGGGGGACTGAGATGCTTAATTTATTTTTCAGACCTTTCTCTGTATGAAGTATACTTACAATATTTCAAAACTGTCTGATTTTCATGCAATTTACAGTGATGCAGTTCTAGCCTCAGTTATTCTAATACAAATTTGAGTAACTCAACTGAAGCTAATAGAGTTACTTCAGATTTACTCTGGTGTAAGTAAGATCAGAATTTGGCCCATATTTTCAACGTATTTGTAATATATGTTGTTCCCTACCATACAGTGTACGGGACGGAGTATTCTCCACTGCACTAAGCCTCTGGTTTTGGGAAGGGTGCCACCCCCAACATAAAATACACTAAAGCTGCCAGCACCACTGGGGTTAACAACAAATCTAACTCAGCCTCGATTCACCTAAAACTCCCATCTAAAACCCTGGACCAGCCTCTTTGGAAACAGAAACATGAGCAGTGGGAAGACCAAAATGTTGGTTCAAGCAAAACTGACCAGCACAAGACAGGTGCCTGCAGCCATGTAGTTTTGACCACTGAACTCAGGCATGAGGAAACCCAGGGTGGTTGGCAGGGATTCTCCATGCGTGTGTGTGTGTGTGTGTGTGTGTGTGTGTACACGCCACCTAGTTTCGTCGTTTGTTTCG